CTGAATATGTTCCAAGATGACAATTTTGGATCTCAGCAAGAGCAAAGCTGTATGAGTGTTGATTAAAATTAGTGCCCTGTGAAATCACATCCAAAGTTGTTATTCCTTCCCTTCCCTCTCCAATTTGCAGTAAATTACATATCACTAAGGCTAATCAGTGAGGCAGTTCAGTGTCCTAAGATTATAGATCTTTGTTATTCTAGAAGTTGGTGACAAAGCAGCACACCAAGTTCAGAGGAAGTCATTATTTAATCCCTAGATAACAACTAAGGGTATATCTACACAGCAACGTTATTTTGAAATATCATAGTCCGTGTCTACACAGCAGACAGTTATTTCGAAATACTGTCAAGCTGGAGAACTTCTTATTTCGACTCCTGTAACTCTCATTGCAGGAGGAATAAAGGAAGTCAGAGGAAGAGTGCTCTATTTTTAAATAAGTGCTGTATAGATGCTCCCAATTTCAAAATAAGCTATTTCTAAATAAACTACACAATTGATGTAGCTCAGTTTGCATAGCTTATTCTGAGTTAAGCCCTGTTGTGTAGACTTACCCTAAGAGACCTAACAAAATGGAAATAAATGTCTAAATGTGAAAATGACCAGCAAGAGTGTGTTATTATGGCCAGAAAAAAAAGTTAATACATGCATAAAAAATGGTACCACCTTGCACAGGAATGGGCAATAAATTTATGGGGGCCACGCCAAGATTTTGGCAAGTCGTCAAGGGCCACATTTCTACCAAGGGAGTTGGGGTCTGGGACAGAGGTTGGATGCAGAAGGGAGCTTGGGGTAGGAAACTGGGGTGCAGGAGGAGGTGTGGAATGAGAGGGAGTTTGGGTAAAGGAGGGGGTTATGATCTGGGGCAGAGGCTTGGGGTGCAGAGTTCAGGAGGAAGTATGGGTACAGGAGAGGATTCTGGCCTGAGGGAGAGGCTCTAGGAAGGGATGGAAGGGAATTGTGACCTTGGTGAAGGGGATACAGAGAGTTTGGGTGGTGGCCTTGGGCAGGTAATTGGAGTGTGTGCGCGCACCAGAGGCAGGTTCTGCCTGGGAGGCACTTACCTAAGCAGCTCCCAATCAGCAGCTCTGCAGGAACCTGAAGTTAGCTGTCACAAGCTGCTCCAGGAGGCTCTGCTCCGGCAGAATGATGGGGTGGGAGGAGGCTGCCCCTGCTGCCAGCAAAATCTCAGCTGCTATTGGTCAGAAACTGGCCAATGAGAGCTGAGCGATTTTGCTGAGGGGCGGGACAGTACAAAGCCTCCCTCCTTGCTCCCAAAATAGAGCCATTACATTAAAGCGGTTGCCGCTGCGCTATGCTTAAGATCCCAGCGAGGCAGCTATGGGCCAGCTCTGCTGGCTTGGTGAGCCGGATCTGGCCTGCTGGCAGCTTCTTACCCAAACCTGATCATGCACATTTATTCAAGGTAGTTTCTGTTGCCTTAATGACAATTTTTGCTACTTTCTCATTATGCTAGCCCTGCACATCCCATCCATCCATTTGGGAGAGCACATTTCACTCTATTCTGGCTAGATATTTGGTATGTAACTGACAACATTGTAAGACAATCAGTCAATGATAGACTCTCATAGATCTTCCAAATGAGAGCTCCATAGCTGGGAAAGTCCCAATCAAATCTAGGTCACGGACGGACGGACGCACACACACGTCCATTTGTTATCATACAATGGATGTCTTAAATTAGTTTTCTAAAGAGGCAGTCCTAATCTAACTCCATTAGATGAAGATTGGTCTGCCCTATCAGTAGGCAACAAATACAAAAATGTGCAGTTGTCAGTGGAAAATTGTAAATCTGGGGTTATAGACACTAAGTCACTGTAAATTCATGGTCTTGGAAGTCTCTTTATTAATCTGCATGTGCCAATTTTCCTTACTCTTACTCATGATATTTGCATATTTCCAAAAACAAAACAGGAAAAAAAAAAAAGTTAAATTCGTAAAAAGGGAGAAAACATTCTCTCTCTCTCACACACACACACACACACACACACAAGCAGCTCTAACAGAAAAAGCCCAACTACACATACCACACTCAGATGCTGCACATTAGTTTATCTTAAGGACATCCCTAAAGAACAAATTTAAAATGAGATTTTTGCTAGAAGTATAAAATAATGGTAAATTAGATAGAATTCTCTGTATCCATAGGACTTCCTGAGTATCTGAAACCTTGGCTAAATGGGAGTTGCTGCTGGGTCAGCACACCCAAACCAGACACTTTGAAGACTGATGTCTTTTCCTCCAGTTAATCAAAAACAACTAGCTTCCACTGAGGCTGCTCATTCTACCAGTATATTAGTGCATCAAAGTTAAGATGCCATCGTAAAAGCTTGGTGAGCCCTAGAAGCTTTCCAAAACTCCTGGCAAGACAAAGCCCTGTAAAGGAGTTTTGTAGAATCAAGGTTCTACTATGTGCGCTAAAATAGGGGTTGACAACTTTTTCAAACCAAAGAGCCAAACTACATCAAAATTCAGAACAAGTGGTCAACAAAGAGCTAGTATAAGAATGCCCATTTGTAGGATTGAAAATATACAACTTAATATTACTAATAATTGACATGATTATTAATAGCAGCATAAATGAAACATTGTACTCAAGGTCTTTATTTAATGGGACTTCTGCTGCATTTCCCTCCCCCCCCCGCCCCCCCCACACTTTTTAGAAGTTTACATCATAACTGATCAAATTCAGCTTCATCCATGCATTCAGGCAGTCAGTTGTGAGTGCAATTTACCTTTGATGGGATTCAAATGAGAGAAAGCCTGCTCACACACAGGTGGAGCCAAACATTCCAAGTAAGGCCATACTAACATTCTGCATGGTGTTGTATGTGACAGGAAGTTCTGATTCTGCAAACTTAGAAAGATTATCATTGTGCTCCATTTTCTTCTGTCAGACTATTTGTGCAGTTTTGCCAATTCTGCACGTTGTCAAGCAAGGCATTCCAAAACAGACTTCAGCTTGATTAATTTTTCCACCCAGATATCTGACTCCTTGAAATCTATTTTCATTTGCAAATTGCTGACAGATGCCTGGAATGGACTGTCGAATCCAGTTCATTGGACACTTTGTGGACAAATCATAAACTTAAACAGAACACTGTTGTTTGCAAGTCAACAAAACAAGACTAGAATGCCATCAGGAGATCAGAAATAAACCCGGCAAGCTCCTGCAAATCACAGCAGTTATTTGGACTCTCTCTTTCTGATACGAATCATGAAACTTTTCTAATCTTCCAAAATGTGCCACTCAATATCTTTCATAAATACAGTCATTTTGACTGAAAATCGAAACACTGCCTGCTGCAGGGTCAGGACTGTATTTCCTTACCCTTGTAGCTTAAGGTTTCTCTCAGTCAAATAACTGGTAATATCGATGAGATAGTAAAACTTGAGCAACCAGTCAAAAAGTCTAAAAGTCTGACGTGTTTGACAACCTTTATATTCAAAAATGACTTATTCTCATTAATGCAGATGTCAAAACAAGACAAAACTTTTCCATGAGATAATCAGCGAACATTGTGAATTAGTAGATCAGGGTATTTGGAATCTTCTTCCTTGAACAGTGACTGAAATTGATGGTAAATCAGGGCTTAGGCAAGAATTCAATTCACAGTGTGAATGACCAGTCCCATTACATTTCCAAGGTCAATTCCACAAGATTGCACACGAAGTGCCTCCTGATGTACAATGCAATGAAAGTTCAAACGTGGGCGGTTTAGCTTTTCTGACAAGATAAAAGAATCCCCTGTATGTGTTGCCCATGCTAGGTACACTGTCCATACACACAGACACAAGATTATCCAACCGTATTTCTCTCGTTTACAAAGTTCATTTTAGTTCTAGGAATGTCTTTGCCCCTTCTTTGATTTTTTTATTGGTAATCTCAATCATTTCTTTGCGCACAGCACTTCCACAAACTTATCATCCCAGAATACACAACTGATTAACGTCACATGTCAGTTGTCTTGTCCAAAGCAAATGAAAAATAAGTAGCTGTACTCAAATTTTGCATTTGTTCCTTGTCAATTTGATGGGCCATTTTCACAGCTCTGTCATGAACGGTTTGTGTCAATGGTATGTCTTGAATATTCTGTAAGATTTTTGTCCTTGTGAAATTAATCAAAAGTTCAAGACCAATTTTTAGCATTCATCTCTTCACATAAACCCGTCAGTGAAAGGCGTCCCCAAATAACGCTGTATGAGTCTGCAAAACTTGCAGAGCTTCAGCTCCCACCTTTTTTGACCATGCCAAAAGGTTGTCATTTTTCACTGCAGCTCCTTGCAGGCTTTTTTCCGGGCTTCACCCTCAGGGTATTTTGTAGCAAATGCTGCTGGTTCTGTCATGAAATTCTTGGTTGGTTTGTTTACTGTCTCTCACTACAAATGAGAAAGTGTGGAGATCCAGACCTAACCACAAATGCATACAAGTCTGTATGCTCCTTTTGAAAATGTCAGTACTCATCATATCTTTCTCTTCTCCATTTTTACCATTAGGGGGTTTGAGTTCACCATCATGAATGATGATGGAAAGATTTCTTGACCAAATAAAAAGAGAATATGCATGGCCCCTAATGAGGGGGAGAGGATGGATGGTTGTTAAAATGAACAGTTAAAGGTGAAATAGACCAGAAAAACACCATGAGTAATTATGGTGTTTTTAAAATTTTGAATTAAAATGAAAAGTTAATTTTTAAAAGTTGCATATATTTTGGGTATGACAAAAGAGCCATATTTGGTTCCATACTGAGCCATATTTGGCTCTAGAGCTATAGGTTATAGACCTGTGTGCCAAAAAATTATTCTTCATTATTGCTAAACTTAATGTCCTACAATGTTTATTGTCTCATTCAGGTCCTCTCACCACCCCACGCGTGGGCTACAGCTAGCTGAATGGCTTGGCAGTACCCAGGAAAAGAGGATTAAATTTAAAAAAAAAAGACAGCATAATATACTATAAGAATAAAAACAGCTCTTACCTCTGTGGTTTGCGAATGTCCCAAAGTCCCACACCCTCTTTAGAGTTGGCAGTAGCCAGTAATCTGGGTTCTACTGGATTAAACATCACACTATGAAAGGCTGATGGATAGTTTGCCAAGCAGAAGGGCTCTAATGGGGGGGAAAAAATGCAGTTTTCAAACATACGAACACACACCACATATAACTGTTCTGTTGCAATGATTTTACAACTCACTATACTGTATTTTCAGATCACTATTTGGAAATAGAAACATTTCCCCGCAGATTCTGAAGCTAAACACAATCTAAACAATGTAAATGATATTTTAAAATCCTCCCACATGTCATGTATGCTCAATGTTGAAAAGAATCCCTTAGGAGAATTTTCCACATAGAATCCTACACAGAGAATTTTAACAGAACCATTTAAGGCCATAACACTGTACAGAGCCAAAATTTCAAATCTCATTAAGATGGAAGGCACAAGCTTATCAGATAAGAGAATTTTTAAGTCAGGGGCTTCTTCTTAAATTAGCAGTTCTCAAAAATTTCACAGTGCAAACCACATATTTACATAAAGGAATAAGATTTCCTTGAGACCTCCCTATTCACAGAAAGCAGATGTAGTAGTTGCTCACATAGAAAAAGTAACATTACTTAATTAAATTTAGCATCTAGAAACATGCAGGAAGAGTAAGAACCATGTGAGAAGCCATCTCTCCACAAATTACTAGCTCATATTCTGAACATCAGAAATTCTCTAAAGATCACAATTAGAGTTACCAGATGATTAAAAAAACACTCCACACACACACACACACACACACACACACACACATTTGATCTCAGATGGGGTGGGGGAGGGGGGATGAGGGGTGGAGGAAGAGACCAGCCAGGAGGGGAGCGGGGCTGGCCGGGGGAGACTGGGGGAAGGAACCAGCCGGCGGGAAGCAGGGCTAGCTGGGATGAGGGGAGCGGGGAGAGTGGGGCTGGCCAGGGAAACTGGCTGTTCTTGTGGAAAAACTTGCGGAGCATCTACACTGCACATGTGTTCTTGCGCAAGTACATTTACTGTAAAGTGTTGGAAAAGAGGGTTTCTTGTGCAAGAGTTATGCCTCTCCCCATGAGGAATAAGTCCTCTTGTGCAAGAAGGCAGTGTAGATGGGTAATGGGTTTCTTGAGCAAGAAACCCTTATGGATAAAATGGCCATCAGAGCTTTCTTGCGCAAGAGAGCATCCACACTGCCATGGATGTTCTAGTGCAAAAGCACATCTCTTGCGCAAAAGCACATGGTAGTGTGGACGCGCTCTTGCGCAAGTACTTTTACGCAAGAACTCCTGAGCAAAGCAGTTCTCGCGCAAAACACCTGCAGTGTAGATGTAGCCCCAGTGTCTGTATACTGCCTGCTACAAATGTGGCACCTAACCAATTTGGGACGTTTGAGAAGTGTAGTATTAAAAGAAACACAAGTCTCTGCCATCCAGTTTGAAGAGGAGCTACTCCACCATTATAAATCACTGGAAATGGAAGAATAAGTTGCTTTAAACAGACTGACTTCTGGATTTCCCATTTGCAAGCAATCAAATATTTTAGAAAGCTATAAAGATTGGAGTTATTTTCAAGCCAGAGGGGTGGTTTGTTTTGCTTTAAAAAAAAAAGAAGTTTCAAAACCTATTCATTAAAGCCTGGATATCAAACATTGATCACTAGGTTTGAGAATTATTGCTATGATTTCATCCCAAATGATCAGATTATTCATAGTGTACTACCCAGTGGTTATCCATAACAGGCCTTTGGTGCTCACAAAATGGACTTGTTTTTTGGGAATACTTTTAACCATTCTGCAGCCCAAAAGACGTCAATGGCTGCCATTGATGATATATGTAAGACACCTGCAGTTGAGCCAAGAGCCTCCTCTGAACAGCTAGTGTAACCTGTAGCCATAACCGGGAGAAAGGTGAACAGAATGCAAAAGGAGCCTAGTCTAATTCACCAAGCACAGGACAGATACGGATCCAGTATTTTAATAGAGACTCCCTTGTAGCTTAGGCCAAATCTCAGCCTCCAACTTATTTCAATTTTACAGTCTGGGAATTGTTTCTATTTTATAGTGTTGTTCTGGTGATTCAAGTTTATGAAAAGCTATTACAAGTGCTACAGTTTATTAGGGTTGCCAGATACCTTCACAAAAAAAATCCTGAACAGGCAGAGAAAAATTGGTTGAGGGACAAAAAAAAAGAGAAGTCACTGCGCCTTTAAATTACCATGCTCCTCGCTCCCCCCGCCCTTGTATGCCGCCAGCCTTACACCCAAGGAAAATGGAAAAAACCAGACATGCTGTTTTTTTTTCTTACCAGACATAAGGCCAAAATATCGAACTGTCCGGGCAAAAACCGGACACCTGGCAACCCAATTTGGCCGCTGTGGGCAGACAGGACACTGGCCTAGACCCAGTCTGACCATTCTTATACCCATCTCCTCAGTCAAAGGCCAGGCTAGCGCACAGCTCCTAACACGGGGACAGTAGCTCAGGCTCCCAGGCGAGATTGGTGGGAGGCACATTTGAGAGGGATTCCCTGGGACAAGGGATGGGCCGTGAGCCAGAGACTCTCTTGCGCTGCAGGACAATCACTCCCCTAGGTTCCAGATACATGTGTTTGATCAGGCATTTGTGGCCCAAACTACAGACCCAGCCAAACGACTGGACTCACCCCCCCCACTACCTTCCTGCTGGGCGAAACAAACCAGGACCTGGCCGGGCCGCTCCTGGATCTCACTCACTCCCTTCCCCCCCAGATCGCTTCACACAGGAATTTCTTCCACGGGCTCTTGGGGAGCCCTGGGCCCCCCAGTCCACCTCCACCCGCACCAGGAAGGGCACGGCGCCTCCCTGGCCATGGCCGGCGAGTTCCAAGCAGCCGGGCTGGTCACAGTCTTGCAGAGCCAATTTCACTTTCATTTCAGGAAAGTCTCCTTCCCCCTCCCCGAGTTTCTTTTCCCTTTGTAACTCGGTGCAGGGCTGTGGGGAGGGCGGGAGACAGAGCAAGGGAGCCCCGCCCCCAAGGAAGCCAAATCTCCCTCTGCTTCTGCTCTCACATCCATCCCCTGGCAGGCAAGCCCCATCTTTTTCAGCCATTGCACCTTTAAATTGCCACGCTCCTCGCTCCCCCTACTCTCGCAGATGCCGCTGGCCTTTCGTCTGAGGAAGACAGAAAATACCAGACATTTTACATGTCTAGTATTCCGGGTTTTTTTTAACTGGACGGAAGGCCAAAATACCAAACTGTCTGGGTGAAAACCGGTCACCTGGCAATCCTACTGGGGCGGTGCACACAACCCTCTAGTGACTGCAGGCCTAACAGCTTCTAAAGCATATGATCTAGAGAACGGTCCTTAAGTGTCTTTTTTTTTTTAAATCTGGTGACAGCTAAGCACAGTCCACAATTTAAGCTGCAGGCCTAAATTTCTCCCTCCCATTTTTCTAGAGTATCTGTTATATCTGGAGCACTCTGGCCAAGACTATCCTGTGCTTAGTAGAACAATCAGGATTATGTTGAGGAAGAGAAGAGGGGCAAACATTTGTTTTGCAAGCCCATCCAAAAGCATTAAGGCTGGCTCTAGTCCAGACAGTTTGAAAAGCAGACTAAATGGTGAAGCTGATCCTTTCAGTTTACATCATCAAATCTGGTCCCTGCTGGCACTTACATGCTGTATCATTAAAACAGCAGCCCTCACTAAGACACACAGACCCCATTCACAGAATGGAGATACTGGAACAGTGACAGACTACTAAATTTAAAACAAAACAAAAAAAACCCCTGTCATTTGGCAAATATACACTTGGACAAATTACTATAACTAACCACTGGAGTTTCACCTGCATTAAAGGCAAACTACTGTACTTCAACAGGTATTTTTTCTCCTAATTTACAGAAAACAGATTATACCATCCAAATTAAATCTTTATTCATTTAAATCGACTAATTTGGTTATTGTTCTCTTCTGCTTTATTTCCACACTTGCAGCTCTTACACATAGCAATATGAAAAGGTTTGTTCCTTTCATGAGAAGTTTAATACCATCCCTTCTAAAGCACGAGGAAATAGGTTTTTAAAGGGAAAAAGGTATGCAAAAGATTGGGGTGGGGGGAGGAAGGGGGAAGAAGAATTCAACTCAACTCTATGGCTGTTGGCTAAAACAGAATATTTAATAGCAGCTTATATGTGATGGTATTTTAAAGGAGTTTTCCAGACATTAAGCATTTTGACACTGCATACATTTATTAGCAGGCATAGTGCTCACTACCATAGGTAGTCCCATTGAAGTCAGGTGAGATTCCTTATAGTGGTGAGCACTACATCTTGTAGCAAATGATTGCAGGCTCAGGACTTAAATATGTATGGAGGCTCCTGTTCACCATGGCTACGTCTACACTGGCACCCTTTTCCGAGAATGCTTAAAACGGAACAGTTTTCTGTTATGAGTATTTCTGGAAAAAGCGCGTCTACATTGGCAGGATGCTTTTCCGGAAAAGCACTTTTTCCGGAAAAGTGTCCGTGGCCAATGTAGACGCGCTTTTCCGGAAAAAAGCCCCGGTAGTCATTTTCGCGATCAGGGCTTTTTTGCAGAAAAGACTACTGTGCTGTCTACACTGGCCCTTTTCTGGAATAGTTTTTCCGGAAAAGGACTTTTGCCCAAACGGGAGCAGCATAGTTTTTCCCAGAAAAACACTGACAATTTTACAGTCGATCGTCATTGCTTTTCCGGAAAAGCAAGCGACCAGTGTAGACAGCTGGCAAGTTATTCCGGAAAAACAGCTGCTTTTCCGGAATAAGTGGCCCAGTGTAGACACAGCCCATTTGTTTCTATTTTAACCACTAGAAAACATGCAGACTTTATACTGATACCCAATAACCTCTGAACAAAAGACCATTCTTATCAATCAGTCTCTTAAGAGATGGGCCCAGAATGGTCTCAAATGATTCCAGTGCAATCATGCTCCAGGTTGGTTAAAAGGCCATCTCTTAAATGAGTGTCAGTGACAGGTACAGCTGAAGTTTAATGGTTTAATTGCAAGCACATGCAGGTACAAATGATTTCAAAAGCCTTTGTTAAAACTGAGCTGAGCCACATGCTAAATACAATTTCATCTCTTAACACTTATTGTCAGCAACAGGTAGTTTTCCCAGTTCAAACAAGACTTAACAGTCTGAGAGGTTGCCTTCACTTACCTTGAGAACGATGCTCAGAAGATTGATCTTCAGAGTTTTGATTTGGCAGGTCTAGCAAGGACCCACTAAATCAACTGCTGATGGCACCTCTGTCAACCCCAGTACTCCACAGGGTTGCAAGGTGTCCGTTGACCTCTCACAGTGGGGCACCACAAACTGTCAACTTCAGGTACGTCAACACCAGCTACAAGAATCGTGTAGCTGGAGTTAAGTATTTTAGGTCGACTTTCTTGCATAATGTAGACCTGGCTTAACTGCTCAGAAACAGATATTAAATGAGGATGGGTTTTGTTTGGTTGGTTAGTTAGTTTACCTACCTGTTTAGTTAAGGATTAAGAGGTACACTCAATATAATGTATTTTAATAAGCCTAATTGTATGCTTACCCAATAGTGGAACTGTTAGAGATACACTATCAAGTAGTTTAGTTCCAAAATTGAAGATTAAAATAAATAGTTTTACAAAACCCCAAATGCAGTAGAAGTGTTTTAATCAAACTTCACTACTTTTTGCAGGTCCTCTAAGGGAGAGGAAACGCAGTTTGAAAACTGAATCAAGCCTAGATCAAAATGTTAGACATCTTCACTAAACCAAGCTGTATAGAGCACTCAGCATATATACCACAGAATATTTTTACATTTATGTGGGGTTCAAAAAAGTTGTGGATTTTAATTTGAGCATGGTTTATAGCTCAGTGGTTTGAGCATGGGCCTGCTATAAACCTAGGATCGTGAGTTCAATCCTTGAGAGGGCCATTTAGGGATCTGAGGAAAATTTGTCAGGGATGATACCTGGTCCTGCTGTGAAGGCAGGGGGACTGGACTTGATGGCCTTTCAAGGTCCCTCCCAGTTCTACAAGATATATATGGAGATACTACCTATATTTTTGTTTAGCAAAGATTTAAAAGCAAGAACCCCTATTAAAAGTACTATGTTAAGGCACTTATATATACACATATACATATAAAAAGCAAAATTTCCCAGGCAAGTACTTGTTCGATCACATTAAATTGAATATAGGAAAGAACCTGAACACAAAATAAGCACACATACACAGAAAACACCTTTTCAAAGAAGAAACTGTAAATAAAGAAGCAGAACATGTTATGAGTCAAATTAATGACTCAGTAATCTCAAAAGGAAAATTTTTAGTTCAAGTTGCATACAGAAACTGCATTTAGTATAGGTAATTTTGATGGTCTCTCTTATCTAGTGCAACAACTCAATTTAATCTAGAACCCGAGAATGCAGGCCAGAGGGGTTTGCCTGCAACCCTGATAGTCACTGGCAGCTGCATTAACTCCAGAAGTGGGGGGCACTGATATTTTAGTGGGCAGGATCACTAGCAGATTAACTAGTTCAGTGTATTCCCTCTGGAACCAAATTACTTTTGTATCTGCCCCAAAGTTTCAGTGGTTACACAGATGCATACAGGGTAGCAGTTGGCTCCATGGGAACCAGTGCCAGCTCCTGTCTGCCCTCCTCCCCATGCTGCTGCCTCTGAAACAGAGGCAGCAGTGGGGAAGGAAGGGAGGCAGCTCCTGGGGAGACAGTGCATGCTAGGAACCTGAATATAACAATGAATGTTAACTAAAACTCAGGCTCATCCATTAACCATCTACATGGTTACACTTTCACATCCCTACTTTATGCTAAAATAAGTTATATTAGAGGGCAATAAGAGGAAATTGATGTGAAATCAGGGAGGAGACAAAGGAAATAATTACTGCAGTGGCCGGTAGAACATTCTGAATTAAATTTCCAGACAAACAAACTATTTTAAAATGGAGTTAAGGATGAGAAAATAAAATGGTCATTTAGAGTGATATACCACAGGATATTGTAATTATCTCCCAAATGATCTTTATATCACTGAGAAATTCATATTTAAATGAAATTTAAAGAGAACTAACGTTGCCAATTTCCTATCTGCAGAAAACAGAACCCTCTTCCCTGCACCCTGCTCCATTCTTTCCTACCCCCTGCCTTCCTCTGTTGCTTGCTTTCCCCCACCCTCACTCACTCATTTTCAACAGGCTGGGGTGGGGTAAGCTGTGGGTGTGGCCTCTGAGTGAGGCCAGAAATAAGGGAGGGGGCTCCAAACGAAGGTGGTGGGTTGGGGTATGGGAGGGTGAGGGGGCTCTGGACAGGGGTAAAGGAGTTAGGGTTTAGGTTCCAAGGAGTTTGGGTGCAGGAAGTGGTGTAGGCTCCAGGCAGTGCTTTCCTCACTCACCTCCCGGGAAACGATTACAAGCCCTGAGGCTCCTAGAAGCAGGGTCAGCCAGGGAAGCTCCAAGCACTGCCACTGAGTGCCAGCTCCACCCTCCCACTAGCTGGGAATCATGGCCAATGGGAGCTGTAGGGGCAGAGCCAACACTCAGAAGTAACATGTGCACCCTCCCTGGCTACGTCTGCCACAGGGACATGTTACCACTTCTTCTGACGTGCTGGAGGTGAACGCTGCCCAGCACCCACACTCTAAACTCCCTCCCACACCCTGCCTGTCTGGGAACAGCCCAGACAGTGGTGCTGACCAGACCCACCAGGGTCCCTTTTTGACTGGGCATTGTGCTTTAAAACAGAATGCCTGGCAACCCTAGGAACACGTTAAGATATGGAAGCACAGTTTGGGCACCTACACAATCTTATTCAGCTGTGTACTAACACCATGCAATAACCATATGATTATAATTAAGGCATTTTAATCTCAGACTGGAATAAACTGATTTTTAGAAGACACTTCTTTTTTCTAACATGCTTTTAAAAATGGACAAAAGGAGAGGGAAAAGAAAAAGGAGCGTTCACATGCTCCAATTGTTAGGAGATGGGATAGGCTCCTTGAATGCATACATGTAGAAAAAAAAGTTTTAAATTAAACATGATCTTTGTGGTCAGATATTTGAAACCATGAAGGCTGGCAATCCTGTGCTATTATTAGGGTTAGCATCTTTCTAATAGCTGGCAACCAGACTCTGAGGCCCTGCCCCTACTCCACTTTTTTCCCCCAAAGTTCCTGCCCCAATCTTTTGCAGAGTCTTCAGCAGCACAGCCAACACTCCCTGGCTTACCACCTGCAAGCCTCACAAGTAGCTTGGCCCCAGAGACAGCGTCAGCAGCTGACCCCACAGCACTGCCTCCCTCCCTCTGCTTAGGATTACAACATTTTCCACAGATCCAAGAAGGAAAAAAGAAAAGAGGGATATCAGGGCTTGTCAAATGGCACCCAGACAGAACAGCAAATCACTACCACACACAAGTCATGTACAACACACCTTCCCCACCCCCAAAATAGCAGATTTTCTTCATTCAAGAGCTCTTTCTATACAGTAATACTCTCTTCTGCCTACAGTTCTCACCTCCATGAGGAGACTCTCTGATATCCCAAATGAGAACCCGGCCATCATCAGATGAACTGGCAAAAACGTTATCATTCACTGGACTCACTGAAAGGCCATATACTGCATCTTCATGTGCAAACACATCCAAGGTCTCAGTGCTGCAAGACAAACACACATTATTTTCCCTCCTTTTGCTGTACATTGTTTCAGGAGGCAATTGCTAGCCATAACTTTGTCACCTGGCAATATTGAGCAACTAGATTAACACTGCTCAAACTAGATATGAAGTTTTTATGATGAAATTAAACAGTATTTGCTAACTAAATACCTACATATCCATCACAAAAAGCCTTCAAAGTGTGCAGGTGGCTACAAGAGTGAGGCTGCATAGCTTACTTATTGCAAAACTTATGTTAAGTCAGTTCCTTTTTCTTTTCAGTCTTTTAAAGGCTAAAAGTTACTAATATACTAGTAATTATAAACAGGATTAATATAAAATACTCAGTTGTGACTTTAATGGGAACAGGATAAAAGTAATATTTTAAAAATAGGATAAATTCATATAATATTTAAGATGAGAAATGAGTTTGGCCTAACATTCTGCGCTCTTAACAGCTCTGAAGCTTATTACATTCCAAGAATTTCCTAGGAATACCTAGTTTTCATTTCTTAACTAAAAAGGGACAAGGAAGTAGGGAGTCTTGATTCTTTAAATACAAGCTTGCTTTCATGTAAAGATCTGTCAATCACTGGAGTTAGTTGACTGTTAAAAAGAACAGTTTTAAAAAGTCTCAGCTACACAGCTTTCCTTTTGGTATGTCATTTCACTAATTCTTCAGACAGTTATCTTCCAGGATAGGCTACACCTGAATTTCTGACATGGAAAACAAGCTGAAAAAAGACTTCCCAAACTCCTAACAGCCTTTCCTCACATGTGAGCTTTATCCAACATACAGCAGCAAAACAAGGACTCAAGCAGAGTTTCCTCTCTTGTCTAACCTTTGAATGTCACTTTGAAACAAAGCAAGCAAGCAAGGCAAGAAAAGACAGGCCAGAAGAACTACTTAAAAGTTAGAACAGCTAATATGAGGAGGCTGCTGAATTTGCTATATTTCTTGGGGAACAACCTAGATGCAGTCTATCAAAAACTCCAGGGTACAGATAGTGATGTAAGGTAGTAATCGACTACCCGATAAGGATATGCTGGCGGGGGAGGAAGAGAAGCCAGTGCTGGGTAGAGCTGACTTAAAAGCCAGTTTCCCCCAGCACCATCTCTGCAGTGTGGAGGAGAGGCAGAGCCACAGCATCCCGGAGTCAGCACCACTGGAGTTAACCTGGCTGTGGCTCTGCATTTAAAATATAGTAAGAGCCTAGTGCAGGGCTACTCAGCACGTAGCCCACGGGCTGCATGTGGCCCATGGCCCATTTGTGTACAGTTTGGATTTAGCAGGGATCCACATGTGGCCAGTGGGTGGGAGCCAAAACAAAAAAGGAGTCAATATAATGGTCTTCTGTAGATACGTGTTTTAGTAGTTAAATTTCTGGACTGTCATAGCTCATTAAAAGTGGTCATATAGATGGAAATTGGATAAACATTGCATTTTATTAATATCAGCAGAACGGACTTAAATGAGGCCTGTGTGTTGTGTACTCTTGCCTTAATCTTTGTATTCATGCCTGTCAGTGGGAAAGACGCTATTTGCATGTATATTTGCAAGTATATGCAACCACACTTAATCTGCAGCCCTCGGCACGTGCTGTGATCATCATTGTGGCCCCCGGGGCTTCCAAAGTTGAGTAGACTGGCCTAGTGCATAGGGTTGCTAGATGGTTTCAACAAAAATACCGGACACACTTGACATGACATCACAATCTACATTACATCTTATTTAGAAAATATCGGACATTTATATTTTTGCAATTTGTTTCCCAAACAGAAAGCTCAAATACCGGACACCTGGCAACCCTACTAGTGGGCTCTTATTACATTTAAAATGCAGAGTCACAGCAGGAGTAAAAGGTGCCCTCCCCCCATCAACTAATTGCATAATCAATGGAAGTTCTATTGACTACACAATTAGCTGACTAACTTCAGACAAGATTTCCTTGAAGGACTTGCTGTACCTAACTTGCTATGACTAATTTGGAAAACAGTTTTGGGAAAATAAACCAACCATCTGAAAGTCCCAGTTGCATATATATAAAAAAAAAAAATTGATGGAACCAATCTATATGCAGCCAGAATAAAAAATAAAGTTTAAAGAGTGAAATTTTAGAAAATTAAAACCAGAATTCAAAAGTATCACAATGACTTGAATCCCCACAGAAAATGGTGCAAATAACTAGTCCAGTGCTGGAGGAATGGGACAAATATGTTGCAACTGGACATAATTAATCAGAAAATCCAATCTGTAACAAAAGCTCATACCAAAACTAAATAAAGGAAGCACTATATTTTGAACAATCTACAAAAAAAAAATGCCAATGACAAAGACTTCTTCCTGTGAAAAATTAGGGTGGAAAGAAGGATATAAGAAAGCTGTGTAAGATTTGAGTTGTTTTGACTTGGCAACGTAAAACAAAACCAAGCAAAAATGTAGAGTATTTGTTCTAACAATGAATGTGAACAGCAAAACATACAGCTGCTGTTATATTTTCTCTTCAGTCAAATGTGAGGAAAAACACTCAGGTGAAACATTTATTTTGGGACTTTTATTCAGCATAAAGACTTTTGAACAACCTTAGCAACAAAGATCTTCCAAATTATGCTAACCAGGACTCAGGCAACACAGATTTAAGGTTTTATATTTCTCACTATTCTTAGGCCCATTCCTGCCTTCTCTGACTTTGTATTCGTCCTTTCATCAGTTCATGTTATTTAATCTTTATTATTTAACACTTTGTGGGAGCTAAACAACACATAAACCAAAACATTAGCCTACCAAGGTTGTATGCTTGAAATCAAATCCAACTCAGAAAAAGCATACACTATCCTGATTGTTCAATTCTAGTATTTAGACAGGTTACCACTACGTTAAATATAAACATGGACAGAAAGGTTATCAAGACCTCACAATAGGACTTCTAAAGCCCAATTCTCCACAGCCTTATAGTTCTGATACAAAGTGGGTGTAAAATCCTACAGGTGTGAATCCCCAGTGCCTTGAACCTTGTCTAGTTATTTACACCTGTAGGATTTCACACTCACTTAGTATCACTGCAAGTCTAAAAATTGGGCTCTTGGAGCCAGATATTTAAAAGGTATTTAGGCACTTAACTACCCTGGACTTCAGAAGAATTAGGTGCCCTTGCAAAGCCCACTAGGGTCTAGATATCTTTTTAAAAAAAAAAAAAAAAAAGTGTGGCCCTTCAATTCTATAATTGCTCATTTGGAACATACTACTGATTTTGAGAGAATACCATTGTCCCCCTCAATAAATAACATGAAACGAACGGGAAACTCCTCTGCACCACCATGTAATATTTTTATTTCAAAATGTCACCGTGGGTTTGTTTGTTTTTCTAAACCAAGACTAAAATGGGCTTTGTCGTCTAGAACATCAGTTTGGATGCCTCCAGTGACTATGATTAGGAAGCTGAAGCAACAATGGAAACTATGTCTTTACCTTTCAACATCATGGAGTATAACTTGCTCATCATTGCCTATAAAGAGAAATACAAAAACATGTAAAAAAATTCACATATTGGTAATTAAAACTTCATAATGAAAAAAAAAAGTTTTTGCAATTTTTATTTTGAAAACAAAAGCACCGTGAGGAGAGGACCAACCTGGTTGTCAAGTGTCAACACCCTACACATCTACACAGAGGCTCTGAGTCAATTTCTGGTTGTTAACTATAGACACCACCACCTCACAGGAGTGAAAAGTGATATCAAGGCAATATATTTTAAATTGGGCATAGCTGACATTGCTCAGACACTTCAGTTAATTAAGGAGTGTTGCTGATAATGCTCTGACCAGTCTCAGTCAAAATTTCAGTGCATGCATGGATGGAGAATAAGGATGTTAAATAACAGTTAATTTACTAGTAGAGTAGTCGATGGAATTTCCATCGACTAGTCAATAGGCACTTGCACATTCCTCTTTTGAAAGATACAAAAGCCCCTGCTGGGGCTCTTGTACATAACGAAGGAGGAATGCAGAACTCCATGTGCAGCTTGGGGCCAGCGGGAAGTCTGCTGAGTCTGGGCTGCACGTGGCGTGCCAGCTTTGAAATGCCATGAGGAGTCCAGGGTCAGCTGATCCCAGGTTCCGCAGAAATGCCCTGCTGGAGACCGGGATCAGCTGGGCATCCCCAGCTGACTCCAGGCTCCATGTGTGGCAGCACCGCACAGCTGTTCCTGGGCTCAGCTGTGCAGCACTGCCACTTTGAAGAGGCAGCAAGGTGGGGGGAAATTGACTAGTCTACTAATCCTTAACATCCCTAGTGGAGAAATCTTTATGAGACCTGACAATGCCCATCACCATGATACTTCCACTGCAATTCACAAAGATAGATGTAACAACATAAGCAGTCACAACAGACAGAGGAAGGACAAACTAGATGCTATCATAATTTTAGCATTTGAGTTGTGAGCCTGGTGCATTCTGCATGTTAGTACCACAATGCTCAGTGCTCTTGGAGTGATAGTATATTGGGCTATAGTCAGTTATGCAGGGGTGTGGACACTGTGACCACAATTACTTTCATATAAAAAAATTAGATAAATCAAGGAGCTGTGTGTGTTAAATACAAGTCAAACGGTTTATATGAACACAGGCCAAGGGGACTGCATCTATACAAACCCCTGCTCCCCCACACGTACCCACAATCTTTAGGGTTGGAAGTTGTTCCTCTTCCCCCATTCTCTGTATTAAATACTAGCAAATATAGGGTTAGCAACTTCTGTTTACAAAATATTCAATACAGCATTATATATTACCATTTGTTTGCAGTGGAAAGAAGAAAGTATAGAACAATAACTTAAGGATCTTAGCCTTAGTCTCAGTGGATCTATCCATCCCATAAATATGATGCCAGCTGTCAAGCACTGAAGCTTGTGACACGTTCAGGAGAACAAAAAAGGATCAAAAGGCATGAGAATCCATTTATTATATGCATTTTAAATGTAAAGAGGACTCCAAATTTTGATTTATCTTATACATGTTTAAAATCTGTTTGCTCTCATGAAACAAAAATGAGAAAGAAGTTTATATGTAACTAAATGGATGCAAGAGAAGCATTTTCCTACATCCACAAGTTCTCTGTAGAGGCTCCTGGAAAACAGACACACAGAACCATCATTCATGTACCAGCATTAAGCTGTGTCTACACTTCCGTTTATATCAGCATAATTTGAGTTGCTCCAGGGTATGAGTAAACCACCCACTGACAGAAGTCACTCCGAGATAAGCGCTCATGTGCACATGGCTATAATGGCAGGAGACCGTCTCCCACTGTCTGCTTTTGCCATTCACAGAGGTGATGCAGAGCTATAGGTATAGACATGCTTTTAGATTACTGTGTAGTGGCTTGTTTCCATGGTCCCTTAATCAAGCCATTTACACATGAAATACTTAGTTTAAAGTCAACTGATGTCTGTGAAATTACACCAATGATGAATTTGTACTAGTTTTTCCAATGACATCGAACTCCACCCAACAGTCTCAGATGACCTGGGAGAGGAAGCCATTACGTAAGACTAATTTCAATTCCTTCGCTATTAAGGAACCGGTTTTCCTCTCACATCAAAAGCTGCAGGAGTAGAGCGGGTAAGATGGGAATGTAAAATGGACATGACTTGCCTCTACCTCTGGTTCAGTTTCAAAGGTGGAAAGAAAACATGAGGACGAGGCCAGAACCACAAGTTGACTGGGTTACATAAGGCACCATAGTAGTTGCTTACTGTTAAAAAAGTAGCACCACTAGGGATGTTAAACATTGGTTAAATAGGTAACCGTGTAACCACTGAAAATCTCGGCAGTTACATGCTACAGGCTCTGCAATATAATGCTTAAATAACTAAGTGTTATACAGCAGAGCCTGCAGCAAAGCTGCCTGTCCCATTCCTGCGGAGGAGGCTTCGCTGTAGGTTCTGCAGCTGGCTCCTCATCCATTCAGCTGCTGCCATCCATTCTAGAAGCAGCTTGATATAATAAACTCTACGTGTGTGTGTGTGTGTGTGTGTGTGTATAGATATCTATCTATGTGTATAGATATCTATGTGTATAGATATCTATCTATACACACACACACACACACACACACACTTAACTTTTTATATATAAAATCTTTTGTCTAAAAATATATACCTGTTTAGAGCAACCTGCCTCAATCTATAATAAACACACTTTCAAGATAAGGAGTATGAACTAACAGGTCCACTCATCTTACTCAAGTTCCCATATTTTAGTTTTTCAATTTGCAAAAGTTACCTGATTTTCTGTAGTTGAACTTCAATTCAAATTACAGTACTATAATGCACAGGGAAAAAACTTGTCCGCTTGCACTTCTGACATCCTTGAAAGGTATGATAGAGCACGTCATAAAGTATGTTTAGCCCCATTTTATAAAAGGACATAAAATAGAGATGTTAAGAGACTTGGTTTACAGCACTGATTAAAGTCAACAAAAATCTCAATTGGAGGAGGAAGTCAAGAGCTCCAAAAAAATGTACAAAAACCTAACTGTATATCTATAGGGTGGTTAGATGTAGGATATTCATTTCTTTCTTCTTTACTAGTCTCGGACTATGGAAGGAATGATCTGCATGGATTTTGATACATATGCAAATATCCAATTTCTGAAGCATGTTTGTCGTCCTCCCCTTCTCTGAAAAAAGTTCCAATATTCAAAGGAGGGGAGGGGAACTAGTGATTACTTCTGGAAACTTCAGAGTGCACAGCCTCCTATGCCAGGTTGCGGGAAGAGTCAGGAGCAATGGCACAGAGCGGATGTCAGTTCAGATACATCCACAAATTTCCCTAATCCTGAGGACTTCTCAGGGGCCAATTTAGAACAGCTCTGGTAGGCCAGTGAGCCTGTGTGTGGGATAGGATCTGGCTCATTGGATTATAAACTCTAAGATAAAAACAGTCTCCTTATATCAAGTTTATTTTCTTCCCTTACCTCCAGAGAACACTTTTGTGTTACCACTGTTGAAAGCCAAGCAAAAGATGTTAGAATGATGCTCCCCTTTCAGCTGCACTGGTTTGACTCTGGAGTGGATGGCTTGTTCCATCTGCCAAAGCAAAACCCGGCGGTCATCCCCTCCTATAAAAAAAAGGAAAGGAAGTCCATGTGACAGACCGAACAAAATGTAAAGTGATAGACGAAAAAAAAAATAAGGTATTTAACACTGTCAGCATTCACATAGGCTTTGCTTGACTCCAGATTAATTTACCACACAGACCATTTACCCTCCCCCCCTCATTGGCTGAGTACACTAATGGATATAAAGAATATTATCAAGAGAACTCCTGGACATTTGGTTATAATTTATGAAAAGCAGAGAAGACAGCAGGTTAAGTCTAAAAAAAAAAATGACATCAGGGGAGGGGGGGCAGAGTCTTTCTGTATCTACAGCAGGCAATGGAAACCTAAGGCCCAGATGTGGCCCCCGGCTTGCCTGGATCTGGCTCCTGAGGTTCAGGGCTCCCCCAACAGCATTGGGGAGCCCACGCTGGTGCTCCAGCTCTCCCCCCACCACACCACACCCACTCCCTCCTGCACTGCTGGAGCACACAAAATCAACTAGCCTAGATTCCCCCTTCTCCCCCCCCCCCCCCAGTTGTCTGAGGGTAATGCGGGGAGTGTCTTTCTCCTCAATCGGGGGGCCATGTCAGTGAGGGTTTGGTTTTTTTTTGTCTTGGGGTTTGTTTGTTTTGTGCTTCTCACTTGTGTGTGGCCCCCAACTGAATTTTCTGTAGGTCAGCAGCCCCTGAACCAAAAAAGCCACCCCAATTTACAGGTACTATCAGGCTGCAGACACCAAAAGAACCTTGTATAAATTGGGCTGGCTATAGGACAGGATATACAGTATCCAGATTATCAGCATGCCCTCTCAACTTACTGTTAAATATTTGTAAAGGGTAAAAAAATATATTTTCATGGTGAATACCTGTCACAGGCTGGTTAATACGGATAGTCAATAGAACAATGCAGGTTTAAAATCTTTTTTTGGGCAACTCATTGTACTTTGGACCATTAACCTGGTCACTATTTTGAAGGGCAATAAGCCATTCACATCCACACTCAAATATCTGCCAGACAGAGAAGTTGACAAGGAAAGAAATATTAGCTGATTTTCTAAAAACAGTACTGAAACAGTAGTGATTAGACTTCGACTGAATAGCATGTGACAATGCCCACTGAATGTGGAGTGTTTATGACAAGAACATGTTAAAAACATGGTTGTGTGCAGAAGCCGGGCCGGGGGGCAGGAGTGGTTGGGAGTTCCCACCACTGCCCCCGCTCCACCCGGCTTTCGCGTGTGATCACAGGGCTCCCAGCGCCAATCTCATCCCACCTCCCAGTCACTCCTCCACCTCCACCAGGCTTCCATCTGGTGCCCACCCGGAAATTCAGAAAATACCCGACATTGCTCATGTCCAGAATTTTCTGAATTTTTCTACCAGACAGAGGGTGCAGATACCGGACTGTCTGGTAGAAAACCGGACACCTGGCAACCCTGTATTCCCACAAATTCTGTTCAGCTAAAAGAGTGCTTTCCCTGTCAATACAAACTTGAAGAGTTAAGTCAATCAACAGTTAATGCAACATTTACACACACTTCCATCAATTTCAATTCACATTTTACCACCTGCATGACACAATATCCAGGGACACACCGAATGCTCGTCTGTAAAATAAATTTGCCTTGACTGCCAACAGCCCAAGCTCATCAGTTAATACTAATGGTTACATGCAGCCCCTCCTCTTGCTGCCTTTTTATCAGAGGCAAGCCAAAGCTCCCCGAGCATGCTGGCTCCCGCTGAGATGCCTCTCCTCCCATGCTGCTGCCTCCCACAGAGGTAGCAGTATGGGGAGCAGGCAAGAGCAGATACTCATGGGGAGCAAGCTTAAATCAGCTCCTCCCTCCCAAGCACCAGTTCCTATAGAGCCACCTCCCCGTGCTGCTACCTCTGATACAGGCAGAAGTCATTGCTTGTAGGGAGCTGGCTTTTAAGCCTCCCTCCCACCTTGTGTAAACATGTAATTGCTGTAAACTTCAGCAGTTGCAAGTTTACAAAAATAAATGCTTGTTAACATCCCTAAATTACCACAGCCATAGTGAGTCAGAGCAAAGATCCATCTAGATCAGTTTCTTGTCTTCTGACAGTGGCCAGTGCCTCATGAGTCAGAGGGAATGAACAGAGAGGTAATCATCAAGTGATCCATTCCCTGTTGCTCATTTCTAGCTCTGACCCATCCAAGCTAATGAATTCATGGAGAGGTGGTCCATCAATGGTTATCTAGTTCTATTTTGAACTCTGTTAGAATTTTGGCCTTCACAACATCCTGTGGCAGGGAGTTCCACAGGTTATGCATTGTATGAATACTTCCTTTTGCTTATTTTAAACCTGCTGTTTATTCATTTTATTTGGTGACCTCTAGTTCTTGTGTTATGAGGAGTAAATATACTTCCTTACTTACTTTCTCCACAGTCATGGTTTTATAGACTTTAATGATATCCCCCACTTACTGGGTCTCTTTTCCAAGCAGAAAAGTCCCTGTATTATTAATCTCTCCTCACATGGAAGCCATTCCATACTCCTAATCATTTTTGTTGTCTATTTCTGAGCCTTTTCCAATTCTAATTAATCTTTGAGATAGGGTAACCAAATCTGCATGCAGTATTTAAGATATGGGCATATTACGCATTTATAATAAAGGCAATATGACCTGTTTTCTTATCTATCCCTTTCTTAATGATTCCCAATACTCGGCTCACATTTTTTACTGCTGCTCACTGACTGGACATTTTCAGAGAACTATCCACAATGACTCCACGATCTCTTTATTGAGTACAATAGCTAATTTAGAACCCATCATTTTATACATACAGTTATGTTTTTCAAGTTATATCAACTAGCAGAAAGAGGAGAAACAGAAACAGTGCTCCCTAACCAGCACCTCTATGCTTATGAAAGCCTTAGTGTAGATGCAGCTATACTGCCAAAAGAGTCCTTTTGCTGGTAAAGCTTATTTCATTTGGGAAACTGCTACAAGTTATACTGGCAAGAGAACTGTTTTGGCAGTATAAGTTGTATCTTACTAGCAAAGTTACACCCACAAACACTTTCTAGTGTAGACAATGCCTAAGAATCAATTTGCCCGCAGTCACAAAGTCTTTGGGAGAACAGGACATTGAATCCAGGTGTCTGAATCACAGACTAGCACCCTTACCACTTGACCATCCTTTCCTTAGGACATGGTGGAAAAAGGCAAAGAGATTTCATATTTACAGGTAAAGCTGCCTGAGAAATACAGCTTTTAGCTCCTCTTTGAAGGCAAATTTCCCATGGCTCACTACAAGAAAGTCCAAGAGTCCCTGCTGGACTTGTACACCTATTGCCAAAGTTACATCTGGAAGAGCCTATGGTGGCATGAATGGATGGATAGATGCTGAAGTGTGGAGTTTGTATATTACTGACCCCTTCCCATCTAAAACATTGGGTTAAAAAAACTACTAGTAGAGCATGACCAGCACTGTTTTACAGTATCATAATAGCATTATAGATAAGATTTGAATTACCCATGTAAATTTATTGATGAAAATTCCTTTTGAGTTTACATTTGCTATGCTGTTTCTCAGACAGAAGAGGAAGGATTCTGAAGTTTTATTTAAAAAACAAACACACACCAACCAACATCCATTGAATCACTCTATTGACAATTTCTCTCTCTCTCCCTCCCCCCCCCTCCAGCAGCCGCTGCCGCCTACCTCTCTCCCCCCTCAGCCACACTGTCTCCCCACCCAGCCACATGTGCCCCCCCATCTCTTTCAGTGAGTGGGATAGGAGTGCAGGGTCTGGATGGTAGGTGTTGTGCAGGAGGGAGTGAGGATGCAGAGTCTGGCCAGAAGGAAGGGTTCAGGAGTAAGCTGAGAGCAGGGTGTCTGGCCAGCTGGGAGGGTGCTGGTGGTAGGGTGTAGCAGCCGGGAGAGTGGGGGGGAGGAGGGTGGCACACATGACCAGCAGAGGGCACAACCCCCTAGTAAGCTTAGCTCTCTATTATTTGCAGCAGCAAGATATCTTTTATTCAGGAACAGTAACTATTGCCTTTAGCCAGGGAAAAATAAAATGGGTAATTGTCAACAGAGTAAGGCCAGTTTTAGAGAAACTAATAGGCAAGGAACAATGAGACATCAAACCAAGCCAAAGTTACACTGCTCAAGATAGTCACACCCAATTGACAGAAAAAAAAAAGAGTAAGAATGGGGATCAAAGATGTCCACTGTTTTTAATCAACTTCAGGAAGACATTTGATTTGGTTTGGAGGAAAGCACTAAGTAGTAGAATCAAATGGAATTCCAGATACGGTAACTGCAATTGCAAAAGAAAGTTATGTACTGAGACTCCTGTAGTACCACAAAAACTGGTGGAAAATTAAGACAAAGAGACTTAGAATCCCATCACTTTTCTTCATGTTCTTAAATTGGATGTCAAGGACGGTAAGCAAGCTCGAGGGCATGGCACTCTATAGTTAAGCTTTTTATTTATTCAGATGACATACGTCTAGCAAATATGTTTCAATTAGTGATTCTATTCTTTACCTTGGAAAACTTGTTTAGTTTAATTTTGGAATAGAGACAATACATAAAGCATTGAAATACAACAAAATTGCAGCATAATAAAAAACAAAAACAAAAACACACACATACATGCACCTAGGACACTTGAGTTCTGATGGTTTCATAAAGGAAGAAGTTAAAAGGAGAATTACTTTACCTGCAAGTGCTGCAGAAATTAATGAAATCATGAAATGGATACAAACAGCACATTTGGTACCAAAGTGATAGTTCATTAAATGAGTGTACTACCAGTATTATTCTATGGTTTTGAAGCAGCTGTATTAAATGAAACTTATCAGAAAGCTGGAAACAGGAAAGATGAGAATTCTTCAGAAGATGGCAGATGTGAAGTGGAATGATTTTAAGACAAATGAAGTTAGGAGGAGAACAAATGAGAAGGCGTGATACTGGCTTCACAGCAATAGAAAATATTACAATTGTTGGGAGAATGCAGAAGACAATCAGATGAAAGGATGCC